CTTTGGATTTTTTTTTTTTTATTGAAAAGTTGCTTCTGTAGAGCTAATTTTTACCCTTCCCTTTCAGGATGTTTTTCATCTCACTGCTTTGTTCTCAAAGTGCCCTCCCCACATGGGGAAAAACAGCTTGGTAGATGGGCAGTTTTGGGAGGAATGTGGCTGGCATTCAAAGCATAAGCATACTTTCCCCCCCTTGGCTACCATCTGATCCAGGGAAACTCTGGGCGGTTTACAATAAAAATAAGAATAAAAACCAATAAAAATGCAATAAAAACAATGTTCAATAAATAAATAATATATTCCAAGGAACTGATGGTATATAATAGGTTATTGATCTATGGGAGCATCTTCATGGTGCCAACTACCCCCAAGGTTGGTTACCCCTTCTCAAGCCCCACGCAAGCTGGCAGAGCCAGGTCTTCACCCCTTTCCAGAAACCTACCTTTATTTTGATCACTGGGGTGTCAGGGTATTAGTACTGTATTCAATGCTACTAATTAAAATGGGTGATGTACTTCGAGACAGGAATATTGGTTTGCATTGTTAATTGTGTAATTTCCTGTTTCTATCAAAACATGCAACATTCAAAAGATATGTTTTATTTGGTAGACTTAAACTTTACATTTAAAAAAATAGTTAAATTGTATATGACACTTCATCTAAAGTATATTTTGTCTTGAGTTCATCCTGGATTAGCAAATATGAATGAACAAATTGAAAGATAAACCTGGGTTATAGAATGCTTAGTCGACCCCAACAACAGCTAGGATCTGGAAGGGAGACATTCTTCTAACTTGATAGGTAACACTCTGAATGCCATCATGGGGAAAAAGGTACAATAAAATGTAATTGTAAAAAAATGGAAGGACTCCAAAACAGCAACAGGCACCCCAAGGCCCAGGAGCCATGGGGTCTCCAGCTTCTTCTTTGTGGCCTACAGTGCCCCCAATGTCATGCTGCTGAAAGTTGGCAACATGTTGAAAATAGGTAGAATTATTTTCTATATTTTTAGAAAGTAAGGGGAAAAAAACCCCTGTATTTCATATTTAAAACCTTGTCAATGCTCCTTAAAAAAGGATTGATTAAATTCCTGCCTTGCTTTCTTCAAAGACATCAGTTTATCAGTACACCTCAACCTTTGTGGCCCTTGGATGACAAAAAGTAATAAAATAAAACCCCAAACCAAGCAATCCTCTCACCATATGCTTTCTAGCTATAAAACAATTTCCTACCCCAAACCTCTCTCTGCTAAACCAGATTAAAGCTTCCATCATCTTGGCTTTGACAGTAGTTTAAATAAGAACCCAGAAATGCATTGGTTTAATTCAAATGTTGCTCGAAGCTAGCCTTTCCTTTAAGTCATGGTTAGTTAAAGAACCACAACAGCCTGGTTCATGGGTGGATTCACAAAAGCAAACAAGCAAGGCCAATACTGCTGAATCCTGGCTGACAGATCTCTCCTCTGAGAATCTGTTTCATTCCTATCAATCCAGCATGCACAAGGATGAACCCTTTGTCAGTTGACTGAACGTCAGCTGTGATGTAGACCTCTATAAACATAGCCACATCATCCAGCAGAAGAAAGGAAGCTCATACAGTAATGTATGTTGACTCAACATTTTTTGCTATGTTTTAGACGTGTGGCCTTCTAATAACAATTGTTTCAAAAAATCTGGTTGCTGTGTGGTTTGCAAACCTCTGGGAACTCTACTGTTTTGATACCATTTGGGTTTATCATGTTATGCAATAAAACAGAAACAGAAAAACGGCAATGCTTGTTGCATATTTACTTGAAAGGAGGTCCCATTAAATTCACTGAGAATCATTTAAAAGTCATCCTAAGAGTCATTGAAATGCTTTATTTTTCATTGCATTTTTCGGATGGTTTGCTTGTTGCCAGCTGCCTTGAGCATATGAAACAAGCCAGAAAGTGGGATGGATGGGTGGTAGTACTGTGGGGGGGCTCATTGACTGAGTCTCATTTTTACATTCTAAATCTTGGAAGTGGCGTTTGACCAGGTCCAAGTGTTTGATCATCTGGTCAAGTGTACCCTACTCTGATGCTAACAGCTGTCCAGGCTCTCATATAAGGAGAGATCTTAATTTTGAACTCCTTTTTTTTTTTTAAAGTAGAAAGATTACTTTTGGGAAAATCGGCCCTTTTTCATCCTAGTAGCATGTTCTTGGGTTCTGCAAGCTGCATGCAGCTTGGGAATTGTCCACCCCTGCTTTCCATTGGAAAGGCCAGGAACTAAACTTGGGACCTTTTGCATGCAAAATAGGTGTTTTATACTGAATGATGGGTGTCTCTCTCAGTTACCCCACCTCCCTGTTTGTCTCAGCAACATTACAGATATTTTGTCCCATCTATTCCCATTTTATAGTGATTTTAAAAACATCCTGTTTTAGGAGCATTTAAGTCAAATGAAACTTTAGGTCTGCCCTTGCCAACCTGGTGCTGTTTAGAAGTCTGGTAACACCTTCCATCATCACTAGCCAACATGGCCAATCACTATAGTGACAAAGAGGTAGAGAGATTCCCTTGAGTTGTGCTCAATTCCTGGTGATTTTGTGGACATGTAGTCTTCTTAGCGACTAAGACAGGATTTACTCTTTCTTTCTTCTGTGGTGTTTTGACTTCCCAGTTTAGTCTACAGCTCTGTTGTTTCCTGGTAGTCTCTCATCCAAGTACTAATTGGTTTTTGCTGTTTAGATTTTCAAGATTAACCAAGATTAGGCAGGTGTTACTACCTGGCTATATGGAAATTGTAATCCAATTTTTATGGAGTTCATTGAATGGGGAAAGGAAAATTGCCTGAGCAATGTTCATCGTCACGTAAGTTAAGAAGACTTATTTTGTTCCTTGTATTGAACAGTCATTGCAAGAAGGATTATGCATACTGAATAAAGTGGCTTTCCCTACTTTATAGGTGACAGTTGGAGGATGTTTTGTTTTTGTAGTTTGACACCTCTGAAAGGTATATGGTTGCTGAAAACTGACCCAGGGTCTAATCGCACACCAAGGTTTTCTGATCAACATTCTAGAAACTAGCTTTTCTCTCAACTGCAAATATAGAAGAAATGACAAGACACTTCCACATTTCAAATGCTTCTGTCGCCTCTTCACAATTAAAGTCATGTTCACCTATAGAGGAGTTTGGAGACGGCCTTGAAGAAAATATGCAACCATTGTTGTAAAAACATGAACTTAGCAGAGGAAAACAGGAAGGCATGAGAAAGTAATTAAAAGATGCCCCGCTTTGGCTCTTTTTGGTATCAGAGGGAGAGACGGAGTAATGCTGTCAGGCTTTCAAGATTCTGTTATTATAACCTATATCATTAGCGTTCTAGTATTGTGGTGTCTGTTTCCTCACCTGATCTACCTTGAAGGGCTGACATCACCTCTAAAAGCATCTGCTATGGTGGTCACCAGCTTCAAAATGGCAATCTCAATTGGGCAAAGACCCCCCACTTTTTAACACATGTTGCTTGCATGCTGAAGCTGCAGGGCTTCAATCATCCAGTTGCACCCACAATTTTGAAGCCAGTGATCATCACTGTGAATGCCCCTGCACCTGCACACACTGTACCATAAACTAGTTACCACATTTTAACCAGGCCTTTCTGTGGTTTATGATTCAGCATGTCATGCGTACCCATAAAATTGAGTTAATTGCTTAAACCATTATTCAATTAACCATGGGTAACTATGTCATGCAAACATAGCCTAAGATCATTCACTATACCTTTAGATCAGTGACAGGAGCACCCATTCAACCTCCCATCCCACTTGCATTGTTCTCCCAGAATCTGCACAGCCAAGTCCCATCTCTAACGTCCACTTCTGATATTTCAGTTCAGGATTGGTTCTGCATACCTTGGCTACCTAAGAACCCAATAAAATGCCCTATTATGGGCAGGCTATTTAGCCCCCAAATGCACAATTTAGCCCTCTTGTGCTGCAGGTGTGTTGATAACAGCTCTCATCACCTGTACATACCCTGGTCATGGGGATTCCCATCACACCCAGTCAGGATGACCACTGGCCACATTGATAAGGAGATGACTGTCACTGATGTCCAACATATTTGGAAGAGGATATCACCAAATAAGTAAAGGCTCTCTTGGAACTCAGATATGGGTTGGGTTGAAATGCTTTGGCCCTTGCTCGCTCTTGGACACATCTCTTCTCCATCACCTGCCTGCTTGCCTAATTTAACCAGTTTTACTGGAGGGTCTCCTTAAAAAATGACATTCTATTGCAGAGCTGTGGTCTCTCCTAAGAGCTGGCTCAGTGTTGAATTACTGGTGATTTTAAAAAGTTGGAGTGTCCCTTAAGTTGGCCTTGGTAAATATGTGGAGCATCTGTGTAGTTTCCTTGGCAATGATACAAAAATTATTTCCCGCTAGTGCACATTTTCAACTTGCATGCCAAACGATATCCCCAATATTTTCTAGTGGTTTCCTATCAAAGTATTAAACAGTTGGACCTTGTATAGCTTTACAAAACAAGATTGGCCAGGTGGCAGCACCAGGCTGTACTTCTCTTGTCTCGGAAACTAATTAGTGTTGGGCACCTTACTTCTTGGATCACTGGGAAACTGAACATTTTCCCCAGAGGAGGCAACAGCAAATCACTTCTGCGGTGCTGTCAAGAACATGGCAGGGCTGATCCCCTCTACAGCAGTCATCAGGAGCTGAGCTCAACTCCAGGGCTTCCTTTTTTCACTGCGTGAAGCCAAAACAAAGCGCCAAAGCGGGGTGGTCTTCTTCTTCTCCACCCAGCACTCTTCAGATGTGCTGGACTACAGCTCCATTCATCCTTGATAGGATGGTAAAGGTGGATGTAGCCCAGGACATCCAAAGGGCGCCAGGTAGAGAAAAGCTGCTCTAGGCTCCTTCCTGCTGCTTTTCGGCAGGAGTCACTCGGGCCGCAGGCCGGGCCGCGGCTTCAGGTTCAGCTCCAGCTCCAGCTCTGCTCGAGCTCTGCCGGGACTCACCGTAAAAGGCAGGGAGCACACGGCGAAGATGATGGTCATGATGGACAGCAGAATGAGGTGGTCCAGCTCCTCGGACATGGAGACCGGTCCCCGGGCGCCCGGCGCTCGCTCCCCGGGAGACTCCGGCTGGCGGCACGGCCGCCGCTTTGCGCCCCACGCCCGGCGCGGGGGCGCCGGGGGCGGGGGGGGGGGGGGGGGGGGGGGG